GGGGAGGTGGGGCGGGGACTCGGACTGCCACGCCTTCCCTTTCCCTCAGAGCTCCCACTTTCCCGCCTGTCAAATGGGCTGCGCTCTGTTCCCTTTTCCCAGATCCACGTTTGAGGGGCTCAAGCCTAGCGCCTGGTGAGCCCACAAGGTTAGGGACCCCATATACTCCGCTTTGCGGGTCGGTCAACTAAATTAGAGCCAAGTTTGAGAATAAAAACTTTTCTCTGCACAGCANCCCATGTCCTGTACCCCACCCCTCTGACTCCCTCACAGGGTCAGGCAACGGACCATTGTCCCCTGCCCAGGGCGCGGCTGAGGCCGGATGCCAGGAGACCGGGACAGTGAACATATGAGAGTCTCTTAATGGTCTGATCAGCCTGGCTTGGGCTGGGCAAGGAGTTTCAAGTCTAGCCCTGGCTCCGACTCTGTAAGACCTTGGACACTTCCCACCTCCCTCCAGGCCTCCCTTTACTCGCTAGAAAGAAGCAGTCTATTTTTTCTCAAATGTATTTTTATTGATTTTAGAGAGAGGAAGGGAGAGGGAGAGAGAGATAGAAACATCAGTGATGAGAGAGAATCATTGATCCGCTGCCTCCTGCACCCCCCACCCCCCAGGATTGAGCCTGAAATCTGACCATGAATCGAACCCCGATTTCTTAGGTAGGTTGACGCTCAACCGCTGAGCCACGCTGGCCAGCGTGAAGGAAGCAGTCCTGATCTCTTCCAGCTCTGACACGCCAGGTGGGCGGGGCTGGGCCGCACAGTGCCAGCATCCGGGAGTGGAGCCCTAACCCTCCAAAAGGTGTTAGCCTGATGGGCTGTGGCTGCAGCCCCCTCTGCCCCCAGCTCAGTCCCTGGGGGGCTCGGGAGAATGGGCATCTCCTTTCCTCGCCTTNTGTTGGGGAGCAGAATGGAATTCTGCCCTGGAGGAGCTAATGGTGGAGAGAAAGGCGGCCAGGGCCGACAGACAGCTTCCTCTCAAATGTGGTGTGAGGAAGAGAGTGATCTCCAGACCTGGATGACATCAAAACATTTTGGAGGGTTGGGATCTGAGCTGGAAGAGTACAAGGTTAGGATGGGGAGAGCACACCACAGCGAGGGGACATCTCCCACAAAGGTGGGTGGATTAGTGAGATGTTTAGAAGTGTCTTGGATGCTGCATCTTGGAATCCAGACTTCATTCCATCCCAGGGAGATGGGAAGAGGAACACGGCTTCACCAGGGCGAGCATAGCTCAGGGTCTAAGCCATCCTCCAGTTTACAGACAGGAAAACTGAAGCTCGGGGAAGAGAAAGGGGAGGCTCCTCGGTGAGTCTAAGGCCTTCCCTCTGCCTGTCTGAGCCTCCTGGTAGACATCCTGGAGCCTGCTCAGGTGAGGGAAGCAGGGTAGTGGGGGGGGGGG